TTTTCTTTCTCTTACTTTGTTTTGTTTCTGTTCTTCATCAGATATACAGATAGTGGTGAGTATTATTTGTGTCTGTGACGTATTTTGCTCTTGTTTCCAGAGCTTTCTCTGCTCTGGCTCCCGTCTGGGCTTTTTGAGTTTGGTATATTTGAGGGTATCTCTCTTCCACACTCATTACTGATTGGTAGCCTGGCTGAGTACAGGATTTTGAGTTCAAAAATTGTTTTTTCGTGGTTTGTAGGCCATGCATTTTTTTCTCTTAAAAGTTTTATGTTGGGGCGCCTGGGTGGCTCAGTTGGTTAAACGACTGCCTTCAGCTCAGGTCATGATCCTGGAGTCCCAGGATCGAGTCCCGCATCGGGCTCCCTGCTCGGCAGGGAGTCTGCTTCGCCCTCTGACCCTCCCCCCTCTCATGAGCTCTCTCTCTCAAATAAATAAATAAAAAATCTTAAAAAAAAAAAAGTTTTATGTCATCCTGATTCTTTTTATGTGACTTAAAAAAAAAAGATTCTTTTTTTTTTTTTTTTTTAAGATTTTATTTATTCATTTGAGAGAGAATGAGATAGAGCATGAGAGGGGGGAGGGTCAGAGGGAGAAGCAGACTCCCTGCCGAGCAGGGAGCCCGATGCGGGACTCGATCCTGGGACTCCAGGATCATGACCTGAGCCAAAGGCAGTCGCTTAACCAACTGAGCCACCCAGGCACCCAAAAAAAGATTCTATTTTTAAGTAATCTCTACACCCAACATGGGGCTGGAACTCACAACCCGGAGATCAAGAGTCACACACTTTACCGACTGAGCCCTCCAGGCATGCCTTATATGACTTTTTGTTTATTTGTTTCGTGTGTGTGCTTAGGACTTGGTGAGTCTTAACCTCCTGAATTGGTCTTTTAAATTTCTTCTTTTCTCCTAATTTCCATTTCTGTCCTAATTTTTCCCCTACTTTTTGAGGTATTGGTTTTTAGAAAGTAAGTGAAAGATTGTTGTGTCACCCTTCCGCCTGTGGGTGCTCACAGGACCTGCCACAGCTCTCCTGTGGTGTGGGGTCCACCAGCGTCACACCCTGCCCTGAAAATACACTGCTTCCCATGCTTGACCCCAGGAGATGAAGCGCCTTGCACAACGTACAGCTAGACCACAGACGCCCTGACTGATCTCCCTTCTCCTGGCTCCGAGGGACTGTCTGTTTCCACTCCATCCCCCGTCGGCCTGGTTAAAAACACTGCTGCCCGGCATGCAGATGTGTGAGATCCGAATAGCCACGCCAGTTTGTTCCTCGTTCTTGCGCTCGGCAGGTGTCTGTGCCCTACCGTAGCCACACAGAATCCAGAAAGTTTCTGTGCACAGCTCAGGTGAAGAAAGAAATAAGTACGTTATGGTGGATAAGCTTTTGGACAAGAATTAGGTACGCGGTTTTATATTTGAGAGAAAGCTTCTAGTTGAGGGTCCCCATCTGTTGTAAGCCCTTAGTGATTGCCGGGTGACGGGGGATGGCTTACATGGAAGAGATTCACTTCATACTCGTAGGCTATTCATTCATCCACTTCGAGTTCCAAGTCAACTGCTGTGTTCCCTTACCTATCCGGCTTTGGGTCACGGCAGTGCCTAGGGGCCGTGGTCAGACCTGGGTGTCTTGCCCTTTGGCACAGGATTTCCCTTTTAAAGATGCCTTATACCCCGGCATTACTTCTGCTGGGTCACAGGAACCTGGTACATAAGAGAACCCAGGAAGTATTTGCTTACTGAATCGTAAGAAGAGGCCTACTTCTGTTTCATGGAGGCTGGTCGATCTTGTAATAATTTTCACTCAGCATATTATCGATGGTCTTACTTGTCTGAGGATGGATCCAGTTTCTAAGAAAATCCACTTCATTGAGAGGTGACATACCATGAACTTTACCCATTTTAGGTACAAGATTCAGTGGTTTTGTGCATATTTGTAGACTCCTGCAGCCATCCCAGTGATCGGATTTTAGAACATTTCTGTCACCCTAAAAAGCAATCTGTCTGTTGGCCATCACTCGCCATCCTCCGCCACCTCCAGCACTTCTGTCTCTGTAGGCTTCCCTGTCTTGGCTAGCTTATGTAATGTGGCTGTCGCCTCTGCCTGTCTTCACCCAGCATCCCGGGTTCAAGGCTCGTCCCTGTTGCAGCACATAGCGACACTTTCTTCCGGTTGCCGGATAATGGTCCTTTGGGTGGATATATGACATTTGATTCATTCAGCAGTCGATGGACATTTGGGTTGTTTCCACTTTGGGGCTTGTGATAATGCTGCTGTGAACATCCGGGTACAAGTTTTTGTGTGGACGGACATATATTATCATTTCTTTGGGATAGGTACTCAGGCGTGGGATGGCTGGGTCACGTGGTGATTGTGTTTACCATTTCAAGAATCAGCCAGACTTTTCCGGACTGGCTGCAGCATTTTACATTCCTGCTAGCAGTTGTAACAAAGCGTGTGGGAGTTGCGATTTCTCCACATCCTTGCCAACCCTTGTTACGTCTGTCTTTCTGAATGTAGCCATTCTAGTGGGTGTGAGGTAGCATTTCACTGTAATGTATCTTCAGCCTTGTTATGGAGTAGTAAGACTTACTCTAGATAGAAGTCCACAACCAGATATGTGATGTGCATACGTTTTCTCCCAGTCTCTGGGTTGTCTTTTCACTTTCTTAATGGTATAATTTAAGGAACAAAAGTTTTAAATTTTGGTGAAGTCCAATGTATCAATTTTTTTTAATCACGTGCACTTTTGTTGACATGTCATATCTTAAAAAAATCATTGCCTAACACAAGGTCACAAGCAGGGGAGAGGCAGAGGCAGAGGGAGAAGCAAGCTCCCCACTGAGCAGGGAGCCCAATGCGGGACTCGATCCCATGACCCCGGGATCATGACCTGAGCCGAAGGCAGACGCTTAACCGACTGAGCCACTCAGGCGTCCCCTAAGAATGTTTTCTAATCATAATTGGGATTTTTACATCAGGCTTTACTTTTGAGCATGCAGGTCTGGCTTTAAGATCTACTTGTATATTGAAGTTAAAACACATTTCTACCATGTGGCATAAACATAGATGCACAGATCATTGAAACATGGTAAGATCTAAAAATATCCCCCCACATATTTGGATAATTGGGTTCTTATAAAACACAAAGGCCATGCAGGAGTGCCTGGGTGTCACAGTTGGTTAAGCGTCCGACTCGGTTTCAGCTCACATCATGATCTCGGGGTCGTGAGATCGAGTCCCATGTCCAGCTCTGCACTCAGCATTGGGTCCGCTTGTCCCTCTCCCTCTGCTCCTCCCCACCTCTTGAAAGCACATGTGCTTGCTCTCTCTCTCAAATAAATAAATAAAAATCTTTAAAAAACACACATACAAAGGCCATGCAGTGGACAAAGAATAGCCTTTTCAACAAAGTGTGGAACAATCAGCTATCCATATGCAAGGGACGCCTGGGGGGCTCAGTTGGTGAAGCGTCCACCTTCGGCTCAGGTCATGACCCCAGCGTCCAGGGATCAAGTCCCACATTGGGCTCCCTGCCCAGCGGGGAGCCTGCTTCTCCCTCTTCCTCTGCCCCTCCCCCCGCTCATGCGCGCACTCTCTCTCTCTCATAAATAAATTAAATCTTTAAAATGAAAAGATATCCATATGCAAGAAAAATCACCTTTAATCCACACACCTCTTACCACATGCAAAAGTTAACTCAAAATGGATTAAAGACCAGTGAAAAGTCGTAGCTGTAAAACCCCTGGAAGAAAACAGAGGAGAAATGTTTCCTATCATGGATTAAGTGAAGATTTCTTAGATGTGACCCCAAAAGCACAACCTTTTAGAGCAAAAGGATAAATTGAACTGCTCTTCATAAGATGCCACTGAGCGAGCACAAGGACAAACCACACAGACTAGGAGAAAATACTTAAAGAGTGTATATGTGATGAAGGATTTATATCCGGAACATGGAATGGATTCTCAAAACTCAGCAACAGAAGAACATTAAAAATTGGCTAAAGACTGCACAGACCCCTCCCCGTTGTAGGTATGCATGCGGCAGAGACACATGAAAACGTGCTCGACCTCGTTAGTCATCAGGAAAGTGCAAGTGAAAGCCACAATGAGATACCACTACAAACCTTAGATCTAACTAAAATCAAAATGACTATACCAAGTATTGGCAAGGACAGGGGAATGTAAGGTGGCACAGCTAGTTTGGAAAACAGTTTGTTGGTGTTTTTAAGGTTCAGCCTACCCCTGTGGAGGGATGTGGCCGTAGTGCTCTGCGTCCCACACTTAGGGACTCACCAGAGAGCAAGGAAAGCACACACCAAGACTGATAAGTGACTGCTCCAAAACTGGAAACCAAATGTTTATCAACAGAGGAATGGAAAAATAAATCCAGGCATATCCACAGGGGGCTACTACCCGGCCATAAAGAATCAAGTACTAATGCACACAAGAACTTTGGGGAACCTGAAAACAATTCTGTTGAGTCAAAGAAAGCAGAGTACATAGTGCATGCTTGCACGTCTATAAAATTCCAGAAAATGTGAACTAATCTGTAGTGGTAGAACAGATGAGCGGCTGCCTGGGGATTGAGGGCGTGAGGGGAGAGTGGCAGGGAAAGGCCACAGTGGGGTCCTCAGTAATTTTTTAAATTGTAAAGGTTTCCTGAGACCTGTGTGGGGTCCTTCGCCCTGTAGGGTAAGACGGCGCTCAGGCTGCGGGTTAGTGTTCCATCATGATGCTGCAGGTGTTCGGCAGTCAACTTTCCTTTTCTTCCCTATTGCCAAGTAGTATATCCTAGCATCTCAAGAGAAAGTCCAATGTGTTGAACATTGAAAGGTCACTGAATTAAGTATTTAGCTTCCCCAAGGTAACTGAAGAACAAAACTAACAGAATCAGAATTTCAGCTAGAAAGAACTCTTCCTCTTTATGGAAGAATAAATTAATGGTTAAGTCTGAGTGTGTGCATTAGAAAACACGAGACCCATTACTTATAGGTGCACCTGCGTGTGAACAACGGTCTTATCACTGTGAGCTATGGGAAGCTTCTCCAGAATGGTTGAGGGCTCTTCGTGGAGGAACCTCAATGTCAGGCAGCGTTTGGGGCCTGCTCTTTGCTCCTGGTACCGAGAGTCTGGTGAGCACCAATGAGGGCAAGAGTTTCTTCTGGGGGACTCAGGGAAGGCTTCCTGGAGGAGGTGTTGTTTGAGAATCCCCCTATGTGTAAATGAGGAAGAAAGTTTAGGGAGAAACGAAGTACTGAGAGCAAAGAGAAGAAGGCTTTGTTTAGGGAACAGCAAGAGGTGTGGTCGGTGGGGTGTGGGAGTCGTGGAGAATGTGAGGAGAGAGGGAGCTAGGATGGGAGCGATCAGGTCCTTGAGGGCCTTCGTGCTGTGGTGAGAGATATGGGCTTGGTTCTGCTGCAGGGAACACCAGGTGAGGGTCAGCAGATGTTTTAGGAAGATCTGGCGGCATCGCACGGGGTCCCAGAGAGGGGAGGTTTAGAGACAGGACCAGTTAGGAGGATGCGACATTCGGCCCTGACTGAGGACAGGGTAATGGGAGGCCCCCCGCCAGAACTGGGAAAAGGTACCGAGGTCAGAGGAAGGAGAGAAACCTGCCGGAATTCCAGGCTCGTGTGGCGGTCCTCGTCTGAGCCAGAGAACCCTGGCAGCACATGGGTTTGGGCAGGAACGTGGGCTGGACTTCTCTGAAGGTTATACTTTCATGAGGAGGTACTTTTAATTTTAATAAAGTCTAATTTATCAATTTTTTTTCTTTAAAAAAAAGTCCTCTTCCCACATCTCATGTTAATTTTTTTTTAAAAGATTCTATTTTATTTATTGAAGACTTTTGACCCCCCCCTTCTTCTCTAGATATCATTGACCCTGCGATCCTGCGCCCCGGACGCCTAGACAAAACACTGTTTGTGGGTTTGCCACCCCCAGCAGACCGTCTGGCCATCCTAAAAACCATTACAAAAGTGAGTACAAAGGAAATGGCATGTTTTTGTGTGTTTCTCTCCTTTTAGATACAGACAGGTATCTGTAGCTTTAAATATTTGCTCAGCCTGTGTCTCCCAAAGAAAGGTGAATGATTCTGATAATTGAAGAGATTGTCTATTCTTTTTTATTTGCTTAAAATAAAAGGGATATTGAGAGTTATATGCTCGACTGATACATTTGAGATTTTACTCTCTTCGCACTTTTTTGTTCTTTTAGATCTTTGATAGAGAAATTGCCCTTGGAGGAATTTGAAATGGAACAGAAACTTTAGGAGCTGAGAAGTGAATAGACACAGACCGTTATAAATATCCGGGGAAACTGAGTCTCAATCACAGTGTTGAGTCTGTCCTCCATGTTTCTATATGCCAACTTTTTTTAAAAAAGATTTTATTCATTTATTTGAGAGAGAGCATGTGCATGAGTGAGGGGAGGGCCAGAGGGAGAGAGTCTGGGGCTGACTGTGCACGGAGCACAGAGCCTGACGGAGGGCTCAGTCCCACAACCCTGAGATCACGACCTGAGCTGAAACCAAGAATCGGACGCTCAACCAAATGCGCCACCTAGGCACGACCCCCCCCCCCTTTTAAATAAACTACACCTCACGTGAGCTTCAAACTCATGACCCCAAGATGAAGGGTCAACACTACCAACTGAGCCAGCCAGGCCCCCCTGGTACACGCAACTTTTATGATGCCTGTATAGTATTCATGTTGCTATTTTTATAAAAATAATAAACAATACTGACAAAATACAAGACGAAAGCAATCACCCTGAATTGTACGGCTACAAAAATAATGCGTGTTGACATTTAGTGCAGACATCATTCCTGACATCTTTATTCAGCGTGGGTGGTGGGTGGTTCAGAGAAGGGGGGGCTGCAGACTTAAATACGTTAAATAGAGTTAACTTTTTTTAGTTTAAAAAAAGTCCAAGCCTAAAGCAATTATTAAACCTCCAGTAAATGTTTTTCTCCATAAATGATATTATTTCCTAAAATAGCACCCTAAGGGTTAAAAATGTAAAAAGATCAGGAAAGCCAAGTAAGCAGCGGAACCGCTCATTTTTGTTTTAAGATTTTTTTATTATTTGAGAGAGAGTGGGGGTGAGGGGCAGAGGGAGTCTTAAGCAGACTTAGCACTGAGTGAGCCTTAGTCTCACAACCCTGAGATGGCAACCTGAGCTGAAACCAAGAGTCAGACAAGATGCTTCCTGCCTTTATTTGGTTTCTACTAGTAAATGTTAAACCTTACACGTGTGTGGTATTCTCTTTCTATATCGGCAGAGGAAGATTCCGGGCCGTCATTACCTAAAACTGCATAGAGCCGTGTCTGCCACTACCTTCCGAAGGAGGGGGCACGAGGGTGACCAGCCTTGTGGGTGGAGGCCCCAGTGAGAGCAGTCTGGAAGACTGCCTGGAGGAAGTGAAGCTAGAGGCTGTGAAGTGAGGTGCACTGGACACGAGCCCGTTTCAAGGGGCTACGTGTGAGAACTGGGTCTGGTGTGAATGAACAGGTTGCTGGATGGACCGTAGAGTTGAGGGGCAAAGACAGAGGAAGAGAAACTCTCTGCTTGGGCCACTCAGTGGATGGGGGTCTGGGAACGAGGAGCTGCTGCTGCCCGAGGTCGGTCTCCAGGCGCGAGTTGGCTTGGAGCCTGGGAGCTCGGGAGAGCCCTCTGGCCACTACCAGCATGGCTGCCAGTCAGAGACCTGAAGACACGTGGCTTCAGTGCGGTGCTCTCGACCTAGGGCGGCCTGACAGCCAGCAGCCCACCCCTGGGCAGCAGCTGGGGACACTTGTTGGGGGTTCAGGCCGGGGGCGAGCTACGGTGCACAGAACAGCCCCGCAGCACCACATACCTGACCCACGACGTCCGCAGTGCCACAGCCAGGTAATGCTGCTGTCGTCATGCGTCCTGCATCTCTGTAGCCAGCGAGCTCGGTGACGGGTGCACGCAGCGTTTCCGTCCCCGCCCTGGGCTCTGTCCGGGAGCTGTGTTACCGAGGTGTTGTTTGCTTTGGTTAAAGTGTGTGTGTACAAACACAGACGTACAAGCATGTGCACATGCTCCTAATTTGTTTCCATATGTTCCTTGTAGTTGTGATGGCCCGATAATCCTTCCTTCCTTCTACTCTTGCCCCCGGGGTAGCACAAAGACTGGAGGAGGCGTGCCAGACCGGAGCTGTGTGGTGCTCAGGGCCGCACACATTCGGACCCAGGGCGGTGACCGATCGCTGTTTCCCTCATGTTCTCCTCTGTGGGTGCTCGGCACCGCGGGACAGCCTGACGCTTCCTCCAGCTAGAATCCCGGTGCCACAGTTATTAGCCCTCAGACTCGGATAAAAGCACCCCACCTCAAAGGCAAAGTTATTAAGAAAATAAGAGAATAGAATATTGTGCACGTGAAGGATCTCTCGGTCAACAAGCATGTGCACTCGGTGAGGATGGGAAACCCTCGGACACAGGCCTTCCCTCTGAGGGGCTTGTCTCCTAGATGACAGGGTGATACGCACGTTTATAAATGTGAGGCCCCTGATGGTGTCAGGCCGGGCCCGAGGTCAGGGGCCCTGCTTCAGTCCGCCGCCTTGTATTTCCAGATGTCCTGTCGTAAGCATATAGTATGTGGGGGGAGGGGGGTCCTTTTTTTTTTTTTTTAATAGTTACCTGGCATAAATGTGGAGGTTTAGGAGGAAGTGTGTAGAATTAGAGACAACGGTCCTTTGGGCAACTTCCACGCACAAAGTTGTGAATATGGAGAGAAAAAAACCAGAAAAGGACATTTTAATAGGAGAATCAGTGTGACTTTAAAAGCAGCTTTCTGGAGCACTGTGGTCCATTCTCAGCATCTGTCAGTGATAAAGGCAAAGGAGGTCTTTTGGTGATTTCCTCTCTGACCCTAGTGGCTATTTTTGCTTCATTTAGGGGTGTGCTGCCTGCCTCCGTGGGAGCCTCAGAGCCTCACACCCAGACCTGCAGGGGGACGGTTCTCAGCGCCTGGGCGCCTGCCCACCCACAGAGGGCTGCTCACCCTGCAACACCCACCCTGCCCCCTCCTCCTCCACCCCCCTCCTCTCCGTCCTCTCCATCCTCCCCTTCTCCCTTCTTCCTCCCCCTCCCTCCCCCATTCCTTCCTCTTCCTCCCTCCCTCTCCTCCCTCCTCTCCCTCTGTCTTCCCCCTCCCCCTCCTTCCCTCATTCCTTCCTCCCCCCTCCTCTCCCCTCTTCCCCCTCCCCTCCCCCTCCCCATTCCTTCCTCCCTCCTCTCCCTGTCTTCCCCCTCCCCCTCCTTCCCCCATTCCTTCCTCCTCCTCCCTCCCCCTCCTCCCTCCTCTCCCTGTCTTCCCCTCCCCCTCCCTCCACTCATTCCTTCCTCCTCCTCCCTCCCCCTCCTCCCTCCTCTCCCTCTGTCTTCCCCCTCCCCTCCCCCATTCCTTCCTCCTCCCTCCTCTCCCTCTGTCTTCCCCTTCCCCCTCCTTCCCCCATTCCTTCCTCCTCCCCCCCCTCTCCCTCCAGGGCCTGGGATGTGCAGCTCACAGGCTGTGTTGACAGCTGGAGCCAGAGTGGGCAGAGGGACAGAACGCAGAACCTCAGACAGCAGGGACTGCCTGCCTGCATACACTCTGCAAATCGGCCTGAACTGAGAAAAACTGTGATTTTCAATGTTTACCCTTTCAGTTCCAAAGTTCGCCAAATTTTTGCTCAAATTCCCAGATTGTTGTATATACCATTTCCTCTTATTAATACGTCAAATAATAGGGGGAGATGACAGTAGAATTCTCTCATTTTGGTCTTAGAAGTCTGAAAAGACTTGTAGGTCAGAGCAACTTCTCAGTATCTATTGGAGTCTGATTCTTAAGAGAAAATTAGGAAAACAAATTACTTATTTTGGTATTTCGGGTAATGATGTGGTAACAAGATGCTTATCACCAAAAGCCCCTTGGACAAAGGAATTTTTTCTTTAACTTCTATTTCTTCCTTAATAAATGTAATTAAAATAAAATGTCTGCCAAGTACTTTGAGATAATACATAGTCTTTAAAATAGTGGTAAAAATCACAAAGACCCCAAATTCCCCATTTTTAAAAAAGATTTTTTATTTATTTATTTGAAAGAGAGACAGCAAGAGTGAGAGAGGGAACACAAGCAGGGGGGAGTGGGAGAGGGAGAAGCAGGCTTCCCGCCGAGCAGGGAGCCCGATGTAGGGCTCCATCCCAGGACCCCGAGATCATGACCTGAGCCGAAGGCAGACACTTAACCATCTGAGCCACCCAGGCGCCCCTCCCTATTTATTTTTTATGGTGTGTCCCAGAAGACTAAAATATATATTAACATCTCACCTAGAAACGTTATCTGTTAAATTTTCATGAGCTAAGAATATCAGATACAATAACAGGTAATGTTTAGGAACCTCGTAACAGTGTTCCGGGCATATTGAACTGCTCTGCTATTGTTTCCATTTAGTGACCAGCAGGAGCAGGGTACAGAGGGGTACGTTTCCATGGATATGTTCAGAGACTGACAAAAAATTCCAAACCGACAATTACCATGTTATCATGGTAAGATTATGTTAATTTTCTTTATTTTTTTATGATCAACTATGTAAAGAGATATCCTTCTGATTCCAGAGTCTGTTGTATGACAAAGGATAGGTTTCTGTGATTAAATATAGATGTAATCATTGAAATAAAAGTTATAGGGGCACCTGGGTGGCTCAGTCAGCTGAACATCCCATTCTCGTCCTGAAATCGAGCCCCGCATCAGGCGCTCTGATCAGCAGGGAGTCTGCTTGGGATTCTCTCCCTCTTCCTTTCCCTCTGCCTGCCCCCAGTGGCACTCTCCCCCCCCCCAAGTAAATAAATAAATCTTTTAAAAAATAAAAAAGAGGGATGCCTGGGTGACTTAGTCGGTTAAGCATCCGCCTTCGGCTCAGGTCATGATCTCAGGGTCCTGGGATTGAGCTCTGCATTGGGCTCCCTGCTCA